GAAAAAAAAATTAGCCGGGTATGGTAGCGTGCACCTGTAATTCCGGCTACTCGGAAGGCTGAGGTGGAAGGATCGCTGGAGCCCAGCAGGTCGAGGCTGTGGTGGCCGGGAACAGCCACTACACTCCAGTCTGGGCAACAGAGACTCCAACTCAAAAAAAAAAGAAGTAAAAAGATAAGGTGACAAACTTTAAGTTTTTTGATATTGGGAACTTGTGTACTTTGGATTTTAACTATGAACTTAAGAAATTTAAAAGAAAAAAATTAAAGCAACTTTAAAGGAAAAGTAAACTCTATCTGTACCACTTCACATCCTACTTGGATTTCTGTCAATTCATAAAAACACAGGAACACTAAATATACAATTCTGAAAAACCTTCATAGTAATGCTATCCAAATTCCAAGAGCACTTGAAATAATAATTCAGCTGGGCACAATGGCTCACGTCTGTAATCCCAACACTTTGGGAGGCGGAGGTGGGAGGACTGTCTGAGCCCAGGGGTTCGAAACCAGCCTGGGCAACTTAGCAAGGCCTCATGTCTACAGTAAATCAAAATATTAGCCAGGTGTGGTGGTGCGTGCCTGTAGTTCCAGCTACTTAGAAGGCGGAAGGATCACCTGAGCCCAGCAGGTCGACACTGGAGTGACCATGAGTGTGCCACTGCACTCTAGCCTGGGTGACAGAGTGAGACTCCAACTCAAAAAAAAGAAAAGAAATAATAGTTCAACTGCCCACAAGCAAGAGGAGGGCAGAAACACACTCTTCCATACCTTTGATTCCATTCCATTTTTTTCCCCCAAACAGGAAAAACAAAAGCGTGCTTTCCACAATGGGTTAATCAAGTTGAGCACTTCAATCCTTTTCCATTTTGCCATTTCTAGCCTGTCTACAAGTTAAGTTCTTATGATGGCTCTAGTGTGGAATGTTTTTTACTGATCTATTCATTTTTAGAACATACAACTTAAATAGCACATGAATTATATAAATGCATAAAAACTGCCATCAAAAAAATTAAAAAGGCAAAACCTAGAGTGAACAGGAAAAATATAAAAGACCATTCAGAAAAAAATATGGCATCAGAAAGACAGGGAATGTCCATTGAGGCTTTTTCTTTAAAATTGCTTAAACTTACAATTAAATTAACCAAAACCTACCTTGCTTTATATTAGGTAAGAAATAAAGCAAACATTTCAAACATTACAAAGCTAAACCCCACATATACAGTTATCAAAAAACAAAAAAGGAACTGCAGCCTATTTCACCTCTTCCTCAAGCTCCACCAGGGTGACCTGCCTGCCCTCTGTGTATGTAACATAGCACAAGAAACAAGTCTACTTACCTCGTGTTCCGAAAAAAGTGCTTTCAACTGCCCCTTAGACCAATAATCCAGAGCATATGCCAAAAGCCGCATGGCGATCGTATTAATTCTCAAGAAATTTCCAACAAATACCACCTGGTTAATGTTCTGAGCACACCAAAAAAAGGCAATTAGTTTTCATCTTATTATCTGTTCTCTCATAAAAGCTACTCTAAACAGAGTACCATGTTCATCATTTTTAGCAAATTTAATCCAGTTGGTCTAGGGCTACTTAATTGGATCCCCAGACAATACTGGACCCACTGCAAAGCATGCTAGAAAATGTCACATGAAGAGAAACAGATTAGGATAAACATTTGTATTAAATATGACAAACAATAACTACTGTTGAATAAAAAGTTTTATACAGATAGGTAAAAAAAAAAAAAAAAAATAGTAAGGCCCCAATCCAAAAGAAGGAAAGTGACACAAATAGGCAAATTATACAAGAAATATAATAGATGGGAAAAACTTCAACTTCTCCAGTGATCAAAGAGCAAAATTTTAGAGCTATTAAGCTAGCAAAAAAAAAAAAAATAGCTGAATCCCACCCCAACATCAGTAAAGCTGTAGTAAACCGGATCCATTCCTCCATTGCTAAAGATGATCTGAACTGGTACAGCCCTAGTGCAAAGCATCATGGCAACATGTATCAATATTCATAAGCAGGGTCACATTCTTCAGAACAGAAATCTCACTCCTGAGTAAGCCCCATCTCGAGAATAAAATATAACCAAAGAATAGCTTCATGCTTAAAAAGGCTTACTGCAGAGTTATCGGCAAGGAACCAAATTCCCACTCTAAGTGAATTATGATAAAAAAGAACTTAAACCAATATACAGCCATGAAATGTACAATATTTAAGTACAAAATATAAACTGGTATGCACACCAACAAAAATATCTTAAAATACATAAGCACAGGAAAGGGAGCATGCAATAAAGAAAAAAGTAGTGTCATGATATTCAAATAAACAAAATTTCAATTATTTGGTGCTAATACAATATGGTTTTAATTTAAAATGAGACAAATCCTTTTGTAACTTTTGCGGTTTTCTTTTAAGCCACGTGCTTCTATTATCTGTTTAAAGACTAATTTAAAAAATGTATACATAAATGCCATAAAGCTGCACCAACTGGATCCTAGATCCTCTGTCCCCAAGGGCAGCCCATTCTTGGTTCTTTCATAGCCCTGTACAATGCTGCTTGACCTGAATGCTACAAGGCAGCACTGTAAAGAAGCTGAAAGCACGAAGACACAGCTCTGCTGGGGTGGAGGAGCCAGGGTGGGCATTCCTCGGCCTGCTCAGTCTTCTCTCAGCTTCAGTAACTTCCTCTGGATTCCTTCCCAGGCCTCTAGAGCTCAACGACGAGCATGGAGTCTAGATTCAGCATTGTTATCCATCATCACCCCAGCAGTCCCCATTATCGGGACACTGGCTACCTTCCTACCTTCCCTACTCTTCCTCAAAATATGTCATTTTACCTCTAGACAGTAAAAGTGTCTATCTTCAGGAAAAAACAAATAAATGAACATCAATCTGCATTTAAAGAGTTTTAACTTTACACCCAAACAAGCTCTACCCCATAGGACTAAGTCTGGGCACTGTTCTGAGAAGACAGATACTGTCCAAGGTTGGGGTGAGGGGGCACATACAAGTTCTGTATTCTCCCGAGAGCCCCCAGAGAAATCCAAAATCCATGTCCCCTTACTTCATTAAGGGCACACATTCTTGCTATTGAGCCAATGTTGTTGGTGATGGTGATCAGAGTTGCTCTGGCAAGGTCTTCTTTACTGACAGCCTCTCGCTTCTCCTTGCTCATCATGTTCCCAAAGCTATGATGGGGGGAAAAATATCATTGCTAAAGGCAACACAGCCCAGCAGAACTTGAATGTTACTTTATTGAGATAAAATTGGCTTTTAGGGAAACATTGTCTGAATCTTCAAACTTTTATTTTACAATAATGGAGCATCTGCTCAAAGAGAAATGCAGCTTCAAATAGAGCCCTCAAGCATTCTAAATCAACAGACGGCTTTCCCTGTGGTTTCTACTGAAATCTAGCTTTGATACCAGATACTGTATTCACACAATCAGTTAGGATCTCATCAGACCCACTGGAAGGCACCAGTGCTCTTTCTGCAACCAAAGACAGTTCCAGGAAAACACTCTAAAAGCAATTCATCCCACTGCACAGCTGTGCCACTCAAATGGTCACATTCACATCTGGTAAACTGCTTTATCAGAGCAAAGCAAAGTACAGACAAATGAGCCCCAGAGTGAGCTACTTGAAGAGTTTTAAAGTTCCCTGAAGATAAAGTACTTCAAAGTACATGGCCAGCATAATTGCTATATTAATAACTGTGACCAGAACACAAACCTACTAATCAGAAAAGGAAATGATGACTAAATGCTGCGAACAAAGAAAATGAAGTCTACAGCATTTACTAAGTGCTTAAAATTAGTAAACAAGCATGTATATATAAGTGCCTTTTCTATTATTAAAAACCCTATGCCCCAATAAACAAAAACAATTGTTTTTCCAAACAATTTCAAAATAAAATTAAGAAAGGCCAGGTGTGGTGGCTTACGCCTATAATCCCAGCACTTTAAAAGACTGAAGCAGAAGTACTGCTTAAGGCCAGGAGTATAAGAACAGCCTGGGCAACATAGTGAGATCTCACCTCTACATAGAAAAAATAAAGTACAAAAACTAGTCAGGCATGGTGGCATGTGCCTGTAGTCCCAACTATTTGGAAGGCTGAGGCAGAAGAATTGCCTGAGCCCAGAAGGTTGAGGCTGTGGTGAGCTATGATCATGCCACTGCACTTTAGCCTGGGCAAGGGTGAGATCTCTGACTCAAAAAATTAAAAATAAAATGAAAATAAAGAAAACAATATACTTATAGTAACATCAAAGAGAATAAAATGCTTAGGAATATATCTAACAAAAGTATTAACACCTGTACACTGAAATTGACAAAGCACTGCTGAAAGTAAGCAAAGATCTAAATAAATAGAAAGACATTCCATCTTCTTAGATCAGAAGACTTCATGTTAGGATGGCAATACTCCCTAAATTGGCCAACAGATTCAACGCAAGCCCTATCAAAATCCCAGCTGTCTTTTTTGCAGATATTGCCCAGTCGATCCTAAAATTCATATGGAAACTCAAGGTACCAGAACAGCCAAAACAATCTTGAAGAAAGAACAAGTTGGAGCACTCACACTTCCTAATTTCAAACTTAATACAAAGCTACAGCAATCAAGGCAGTGTGGTACTGGCATAAGAACAGATATTATAGATCAATGGAACAGAACTGAGAGTCCAGAAATAAACCCAAACATCTATGGCCAATTGATTATTGACAAAGGGGCCAACAGAATTCAACAGTCTTTTCAACAAATAGTGCTGGAACAACTGGATATGCACCAGCAAAACAATGAACTTGGACCTCTACCTCACACCATATACAAAAACTAAGTCAATGAATCATAGGCCTAAATATAAGAGCTAAAACTATAAAACTCTTGAAGAAAATGGAGAAGTTACTCTTCAGTTATTCTTAGATCAGGCAATGATTTCTTATGTATGACACCAGAAGCACAAGTGACAAAAGAGTAGATAAGATGAACATCAACATTAAAAGCTTTTTTGCTACAGAGGACACCATCATCAAGGAAGTAAACAGAATGGGAGAAAACATTTGCAAATGATATATCTAAGAAAGGATTTGTATCCAGAACATATAAAATGCTCTTGTAACAATTATAAAAAGACAAACCAACTAATAAATGATCAAGACTTGAGCTAGGCCAGGCTCGGTGGCTCAGCCTGTAATCCCAGCACTTTGGGAGGCTGAGGTGAGTGGACTGCCTGAGCCCGCGGGTTCAAGACCTGCCTGGGCAACTTGGTGAGACCTCATCTCTACAATAAATCA